GACCCAGGGCAGCGCTGCCCCAGCCGCCCGCAGGGAGGAGCACATCGGGATGGGCTGGCTCGGCCGCTGAAAACTTTCTTGGAACAGCTCTGCCGGTTGGGCATTAATGGCAGCTGATTAACGATTTTGGCACTCGGCGTGCGGGCTTTGTTTTGGGGCGCGTTTCTTGGGGGCTTTGATGGCACCTAATCAAGTTGGAATGAAGAGAGTTGAAATTACTTTGCAAAGTTCACAGCAAAATGGGGTGAACTGGGTAGGGAACAAGGAAGTCCTGCTTTTCCTGTGGCACCGTTTGGCTGACATCGTCCCAGTGAGGTTGCAATGCCTGAAATGTGGACCTTTGAATGTCCCCACTGCAGCTGGATGGTGCCGAGGCTGGCTGAGAGCTTGCAGCCGTTTTCTGGGCGTGTGTTTCTTTCCTTTTTTCTTGTCCTTTTCCAGACCACTCTTCTCACCTCAACCCTTCATCTTTCCTATTCTACCCAGGCCAGAGCAGAGTGCCCCTGGTTTGCCCCCCCTTTTCCTCTTTGCCCCCTTGCCCATGCTGTTTTCTTCTTCCAGAGCTCCAAGTTTTGCAGGAACACCAAGCCAAGGCTCCTTCCAGCCTCAGACAGAGCAGGGGGCTTCCCATTGCCTCCTCTGGAGAGAGCAGGTGGAACAGCTTCAGCAATGTTATCGTTCCTCACAGGGAAGCAACCCTTCTGCCAGAAAAACTTGTAGAGTGCTTTAGCAGACTTCTGAGAGGGCTCCTTCCAAGGCTTTTAAGTTCCTTAATCTGTCCCTATTAGCCAGAGAAAAGAAGTGTGGCAGATTTTTTGGAGCTCAGATGGGACAGGTCAGCCTGGGGAGGAACACAGGCTTCACCTTAGAAATAGCCAAAACATACAAAATCCAGCCACCACATGCTCCGAGATCTTGTATCCAGCAGTGACCAGCTCCAGACCTTTTGACATCTCGTATGGCCTAGTAAACACAGAGTACTCCTTTCTCATCAAAGACTCGAAGATTTAGTTCTTTGGGGGTTTTGGATGAGGGAGGTGCTGGGGATTGGGAGGGAGAGGGGTTGATGTTTCTTCCGAAATGCATTTTAGCACGAGCTGTGATCATTGTGGGTAGTTTTATTTTTCCCTGGTTTGAATATTCCTGCCTTCTTGGCTTTCTCCATCCCAGCAGTGAGCTTGTCCAAAAGAAACATTTCTTTTTCTCCTCTGTGTATCTGCTCTCACTTCTGTGTCTTGTCACTCCTCTGCTATCACAACACCCACAAATGAAAAATCCCCTCATGTCCTCTCTCAAGAACATCACTAGTTGTCACTGGACATTTTAGTCCTCTCTCTCCTCCTTACTTAGAGCTGTCCCTTGGAGTCCACAGGAAGCAGGGCAGAACCCACCCTGACCACCAGGGGTAACCCACAGTTCTTAGAAGACTTTACCAGGACTCCCTCATGGCTGCAGGCAAGATTTCAAGACAGCCTGAACTTTAAAGCCCCTCACCCGAGTGTCCCTAGGATGAGTTGGAAAGCCTTAGAAAGGCTGGAGCACTTGCTCTCAACTCCAAATCATCCCATACAGATTTCAGTTTGTATTTTCAAGCCCTGCAAAACTTTCCTGGCCAGTCAGCTCTCTGCACCAGAGGGAGGATCAGTGTTTTTGCAATATCCTCCATTTATTTGGGGTGCTTTTGGAAGACTGAGGGAACTTTTATTCCTTGAGGACTTTTATCCCTTATCAGAACTATTCTATTCTTGTCCCAGGTTTTTTTGCTTCTGTTTAGTTTTTGAGATTGACTCTCAATGGACCATTTGAAGGCAAATGAGTTGCTGCTGATTTCAGTGCAGCCGTGGCCAAAGGGGTCAGAGCAGCTGCCCATGGCAGTGTGTCACAGAGCCCTTTGTGACATGGTGGCCATCGCCAATGGGATGGGACAGGGCAGGGTGTCCAAGGGCCCTTTGTGACACACCCTGATATAGGTGTTTGGCGTCAACGCGGCCGCGCCACAGTGCTCGGAGCACGCGTCTGGTCAGGACGGGACTGAGCGGTGCTGTGAGGAGTCTCCTCGCAGCCAACTCGTTCGTTGCTGACCCGAAGCAATTCCGAGAGCTCTTTTTTGTGCAAGTTCCCTCGAGGCCAAACCCCAGGAGTTGGTGACCCGGAGGTTTTTCCGACACATCACCACTCTCTGTGGGAGTGGCCCTCGAGGCCAGGCCACGGGCCTTGGTGACCCGGAGCTTTTCTGGGCATCACCAGTGCCTGTGGAAGGTGCCTACGAGGCCAGACCACGGGACTTGGTCACCTGCAGTCCCTGTGGAAGGTGCCCTCGAGGCCAGACCACGGGACTTGGTCACCTGTAGTCCCTGTGGAAGGTGCCCTCGAGGCAATTTTGTAAGATTTGCCCACCAGGGTATTTTCTAAGGCGTCTCTCGTGCAAGTTCCCTTGAGACCACACTGTGGGATGGCGGGGAGACGCTTCAGCCTGTTCAGGCTGCTGAGGAGGAAGAGGAACAGGAGAGGCCCTGGGGCGGCCCCAGCACAGCAAGCTGAGGAGCCCCTGCAGCAGGGTGAGTGCTGGAGCTGGGCCACAGGGCTGGTGGCTGCAGCCAGCTTGGCCCCTTCCTGTCCCCTGTGGGCGCCCCCAGAGAAAAAGGAGGGGGGAAGAGGGGCCAAGGGTGACCCCCCAGCATCCCTGCTCCATCCACTGGGCAACCCAGGGCCGGCCCTGCCTGTGGAGTGCAGGGCTGGGCTGTGTTCCCTGGCCTCTCCTGCAGCCCCTCAGCTCTGCCTGCGCTCCCTCTTTGACAGATCCAGGTCAGGAGCGGACAGAGGAGCAGGACCGCCCCCGTGGCCGCTTCCGCAGAGCAGTTCAGGTACCTGCAGCCATCCCCCCCTGGGCTGGGCCTGCTGTCCCTGCTCAGCCTGGCACTGCTGGTGGAGCGCTCCCTCAGACTTCCCTCTCTTCCCTGCCCTTCCTTCTCCTGCAGAGGTTGCTGAAAATCATGCGCATTCGGCGCAGAACACCCAGGACCACAGCACCTGAGCTCATGGCACAGCCTGACACCAGGCCAGCTGAGCTCAAGGAGAAGCCTGAGGGCAGCACCGAGCCGATTGATCGCACGGCAACCTCTGAGACTGCTGTGACCGAGGACATGGCCAACCCTGACACCGCACTGGCCGATCTCACTGCGAAGGATGACACTGAACCCACTCATTGCACAGCAAAGCCTGACACCGTTTTGGCTGAAGATACAACCAGCTCTGACACCGCAGCCACTGATGTCATGGCCAAGGCTGACATGGCGCCGATGGCCATTGATGGCACATCACACTCTGACGTGGCACCGATGGACGGCACAGCAAAGCCTGACACCGCTTTGGCTGGTGACACAACCGGCTCCAACACTGATCTCGTGGCACAGGCTGACATCACACCGACGCCGACTGAGGGCACAGCAAGCTCTGATGAGGCACCGATGGATGACGCAGCAAACCCTGAGACTGCCATGACCGACGCTGACACCACAAGTGATCTCATGGCAGAGGGTGACACCACGAGTGAGGGCATCGGAAACACTGACACCACGCCAGCTGAGAGTGTGACCGATGCTACCAATGTGCAGTTTTTGGAGGGGAAAGGTGTCTCCAGTAGGAAGCTAGTAAGCAGCCTGTGGCCAGGGTTTAAGTCCCCCAGGGATCTCGTGGCCTCTCAAGTTGGGTCCGCTGGCCCCCTAAGCCTTTGAGGCCAGCAGAGTGTGGTGGGAAGGGAAGCACTTCTTGGGGAAGCTGGGCAACCTCCTTCTTCTGGGAGCTCCCCAACTGTCCCCCACTGCCTCTCCAGGTGCCAGCCATCGTTTGGTCCATCCACCACGACCTCACGTTCCACGTGTCTCCACACACCAACATCTGCAGGCTCGCTGAGGCACACCCACGTGATGTGGTGATAACTCTCCTGCGCTGTGCCCCAGAGTGTGACAGGTACAGGGCCCAGCTGCCTTGCTGGCTCAGGGATCACCAACCCTTACAACCCCTCATCCTGGAGAGCCTGTCCCAGATCCTGGTCTGCCAGACAGATGGAGACTTCCAGGACCCTCAGGCCCCTCCATTTCCCAGCCTGTCAGCCCCCAATCCTACTGCCATGTGCCCTCCCTGCCCTTCAAGGCACCGTGGCTCTGTCACCTGGGTCACCACAGCTGCCCAGACCACAGTGCTGGGGCTGAGACCCCCCTGACGCAGAGCTCTGACTCCACAGAGCTGCTGCAATGATGTGGAGAAGCATCGGCTCCTCGGGAACAGCAGTAGAGAAGGTGCTGCCAGTCCTGCTCCACGTGATGGAGGATTGGCCAGTGCACGGAATGTCCACCTCCGATGGCGACAACAGAGATGTCTTTGCCATGACTGTGAGTTTCTAGAAGTGGCCTTTTCTCTGCCCCACATCGCCTCTCCAGTGACTCTCCATCCTCCCCCACCACTGCATCTCCCTGCCTCAGGCCTTGGGCTGCAAATCTGGCTGAGGGGCAGGTTCAGGGACAACAGGCTGGCTGCTCCCCCTGCCTCTCCCCTGGCCTCTCCCTCCCACACTCGGGCCCTGACACATGGACCTCTCGCACTGAGCGCTGTCTCCACGTGCTTTGATTGCAGGCAACCCTGGCACTGTGGCTGATCATCCGGGAGCCCAAGTGCCAGGATGCAATCATGAATTACATCCCCCGCCTGCTCATGGCTCTGCTGTTCCAAGTGTCCATGAGCACAGAGCAGGTGCCAGAAGATGTGAACAGCTTCTGGAGGGGATGCCTGGAGCAACACCGCCTCCCCACCCAGCCCAACAGGTGCTCCATCCCTGTCCTCTCTCCCTGCCATGCCCTTGGGGCTGGGGCCAGGGCTCCCAGCATGACCTGGCCTTTGCTCTGCACACAGGTTCTTGGTAGAGACCATCAAGGCCCTGCTTTGCCATCTGCCATGGGAGGATATTTGGATGGCAAGGAAGCGCAGGCTTGCCTGGGACCCGCTCCTGAATTCTGACACCCATCACTATGCAGTGGGTCTGCATGTCAGGTGAGACAACCTTGTCCCTGCTGCTCCCATCATCTCTACCCAAGGCACGGGGCACCCCACACAGCTCCCGTGGGCGTGGGCCAAAGGGCCTTGGCCCCAAGGGATGGCCGAGCAGCTTGGAAAAGGCTGCGGGAGGCGGGTTCACATGAGGAGCCACCTGCCATAGTGCCCATATCCCATCCTGGGCTGCTGGGAAAAGAGCAGGACTTCGTGAGTCAGTACTGGGAGAGCTTTGCCCACCCTGCTCAGGGTTCATGCTTTTCCCCCTGACAGGGAGATGCGCCGCCAATTGACCCCCTCCCATTCCCCACTGGCAATCCACCTGCTGGGGCTGCTCAGCACTGAGGACCCCCGATGGGAGCTGCCTGCCCTGGAGTTCCTTGTGGAGGTGAGCCCGATGGCGAGCGCTGCCTGGCCCCGCTGCCTCCCCCTCTCTGCCCTCTGGCAGTCACAGCTGCCCGGGACGGTGCCTGTGCCCTGTGCTGCTGCCTGGGCCCAGCCCTGGGTGGCTCTAGGCTCCTGCTGCCCGGGCACCTCGTCACCTTCCAGGTCCTGGACTATCTGGACACAAGGAGATGTCACAGCAGTGTTGAGCAGATCCTGTCAAGGCACCTGCAGAGCCAGTGCCCAGAGAGACGTCACCTGGCTCTCCGAGGCCGCATGGTGCTCTGGACGGATCTGTCAATGGTGAGAAGGGGACACCCGGCTGAAGCCACACGGGCAGCCTGGGGCTGGGGAAGGCAATCTCCTGTCCTTTGGCTGGGCTTCGGGAGCTGTGGATGCTCCTCCCAGCTCTCCTGCCTCCCTGTACAGCTGCCCGGGCCCTGTGGGACAGCCCTTTGGCCTCTGGGCCCCGGGGCAGCAGCGTGGGGTTGCACTGCCAGAGAGCTCTTGGTGGGGCAGCTGTTCAGGGCTTGACAGCACAGCACTGTGTTCCACACAGGCCCAAAGCATCTGCAGCCTGTCCCAACACCTCCTGGAGCTGCTGCCTGATGAAGACGGAGAGCTGGTCGTGATGACCCTCTCTGTGTTTGTGAATATGCTCCGGGACAAAGACATGCAGGCACTCATCTCCACTGCCCCCAAGCTGGCTGAGGCGCTCCGGCCACTCTTTGACAACGTAAGGCTTTGTGTCCCCAGTCCACGGGCACTGGCTGCTGCCAGGAAACTTTGTGCTCTGTGGATGTTCAGGCCTGTGCCTGTATCTCATGGGCCTGGAGCATCCGGTGCTGAGGTCTTTTTCTCCTCTTTTTCTCCTCTGCACCCACGTGCAGCTGTCCTCCTTTCGCTTCTTCCAAACGGTGATGGAGGTACTGGTGGAAGGGGGAACAAGGCCCTTGGAGATGCAGATGCATCAGAGCCTGGTGCTGTGGTTCTTCCTGCACTATGATGAGCACCAGTGCGTGGCAGAGGTGAGCACTTGTGGGCTCTGGGGTCACCATGGCAGGGGCTGGGCTGCCTCCTGCCCTGGGGTTTTGTGGGGTCCAGCCTCCTCCTGGCCAGGGACAAAGACCTGGCCACAGAAACTCAATACAGCTGCCATTCCAGATTTTTATGGAGGGGAAGTGTGTCTGTAAGTAAGCAGCCTGTGGCCGGGGCTCAAGTGCCCCAGGGGTCTCGTGGCCTCTCATGCCAGGTCCGCTGGCCCCTAAGCCTTTGAGGCCACACTGTGTGGTGGGAAGGGAAACACTTTTCGGGGAAGCTGGGCAACCTGCTCCCTCTGGCACCTCTTCAACTGTCCCCCACTGCCTCTCCAGGTGCCAACCATCGTGAGATCCATGCACCAGTGCCTCACCTCCCACATGGCTCCAGGGGTCACGATGCACACCAACATCTGCAGGCTCGCTGAGGCACAGCCACGTGATGTGGTGATGAGTCTCCTGCGCTGTGCCCCAGAGTGTGACAGGTACAGGGCTCTGCTGCCTTGCTGGCTCAGGGATCACCAACCCTTACAACCCCTCACCCTGGAGAGCCTGTCCCATGTGGTCTGCCAGACAGATGGAGACTTCCAGGACCCTTGGGTCCCTCCATTTCCCAGCCTGTCAGCCCCCAGTCCTACTGCCATGTGCCCTCCCTGCCCCTCAAGGCACCGTGGCTCTGTCACCTGGGCCCCCACAGCTCCCCAAGCCATGGTGCCGGGGCTGAGACCCCCCTGACGCAGAGCTCTGGCTCCACAGAGCTGCTGCCATGATGTGGAGAAGCATCGGCTCCTCAGGAACAACAGCGGAGAAGGTGCTGCCAACACTGCTCCGAGTGATGGAGGACTGGCCAGTGCATGGAATGTCCACCTCCGATGGCGACAGCAGAGATGTCTTTACCTTGACTGTGAGTTTCTAGAAGTGGCCTCTGCTCCTCCCCACGTCACCTCCCCCACCCCTGCATCTCCCTGCCTCAGGCCTTGGGTTAACAATGTTGCTGAGGGGCAGGTTCAGGGACACCAGGCAGGCTGCTCCCCCTGGCTCTCCCCTGGCCTCTCCCTCCCACACTCGGGCCCTGACACATGGACCTCTTGCACTGAGCGCTGTCTCCACGTGCTTTGATTGCAGGCAACCCTGGCACTGTGGCTGATCATCCAGGAGCCCCAGTGCCAGGATGCACTCATGAATTACGTCCCCCGCCTGCTCATGGCTCTGCTGTTCCAAGTGTCCATGAGCACAGAGCAGGTGCCAGAAGAGGTGAACAGCTTCTGGAGGGGATGCCTGGAGAAACACCGCCTTCCCACCCAGCCCAACAGGTGCTCCATCCCTGTCCTCTCTCCCTGCCATGCCCTTGGGGCTGGGGCCAGGGCTCCCAGCATGACCTGGCCTTTGCTCTACACACAGGTTTTTGGTCCAGACCATCAAGGCCCTGCTGTGCCGGCTGCAGTGGGACAATGAAGTGGTGTCAGTGGAGCGCAGGTGTGGCTGGGACACGCTCCTCTGTGCTGACACCCAGCACTATGCAGTGGGGCTGCTGGCCAGGTGAGACACCCTCGTCCCCGCTGCCCCCATCATCTCTGGCCTGGGCACAGGCCACCCCACACAGCCTGCTGGGAGAGCTTTGCCCACCCTGCTCAGGCTCCATGGTTCCTTCTTTCCCCCTGACAGGGAGATGCGCCACGTCTTGGTCCCTTTCTATTCCCCCATGGCAATCCACCTGCTGGGGCTGCTCAGCACTGAGGACCCCCGTTGGGAGCTGCCTGCCCTGGCCTTCCTTGTGGAGGTGAGCCCGATGGCGAGCGCTGCCTGGCCCCGCTGCCTCCCTCTCTCTGCCCTCTCACAGCCACAGCTGCCCGGGACGGTGCCTGTGCCCTGTGCTGCTGCCTGGGCCCAGCCCTGGGCAGCTCCAGGCTCCTGCTGCCCGGGCACCCCCATCACTGCTCTCTGCCTTCCAGGTCCTGGACTTTCTGGATGGGAGCAAATGTCATGACAGGGTCCTGCCCATCCTGTCGAGGAACCTGCGGAGCCAGTGCCCAGAGAGGCAGCGCCTGGCACTCAGAGGCCTCCTGGTGCTTGCTGTGGATCCCTCAATGGTGAGAAGGGGACACCCGGCTGAAGCCACACGGGCAGCCTGGGGCTGGGGAAGGGAAGCGCTTGGGTTTGGCTGGCCTTTGGCAGCTGTGGATGCTCCTCCCAGCTCTCCTGCCTCCCTCTTCTGCTGCCCAGGTTCTGTGGCACAGCCCTTTGGCCTCTGGGCCCCGAGGCAGCAGCGTGGGGTTGCACTGCCAGAGAGCTCTTGGTGGGGCAGCTGTTCAGGGCTTGACAGCACAGCACTGTGTTCCACACAGGCCCAAAGCATCTGCAGCCTTTCCCAACACCTCCTGGAGCTGCTGCCTGATGAAGATGGAGAGCTGGTCGTGATGACCCTCTCTGTGTTTGAGAGTGTGCTCCGGGATGAAGACATTCGGGCATTCGTCTCTACTGCCCCCAGGCTGGCTGAGGCGCTCCGGCCACTCTTTGACAACGTAAGGCTTTGTGCCCCCTAGCTCCAGGCACTGGGTGCTGCATTGAAACTTTGCCCTGTGGATGTTCAGGCCTGTGCCTGTTCCTGGTAGACCTGGAGCATCCAGTGCTCAGGTCTTTTTCTCCTCTTTTGCCCCAGGACAACACCCACGTGCAGCTGCTCTCCATTCGCCTCTTCCGAGAGCTGATGGAGGTGCTGGCAAGAGAGGGAACACAGCTCTTGGAGACTCAGGTGCACCAGAGCCTGGTCCCACTGTTCATCCATGGGCATGACGAGAACCAGTGCGTGGCAGAGGTGAGCAGTGCTGGGCTCTGGTGTCCCTGTGCACGGGGCTGGGCTGCCTCCTGCCCTGGGGCCTCAAGGGCTCCAGCCTCCTGCTGGCCTTGGAGCAGGGACACAGGGGCTGTGCCCTGGGCTGTGGTGCCATGTCCCGCTCTCTGCTGCTCTGCAGGCCTCTCGAGAAGTGCTGCTTTGCGCTGCAAGGTTCCTCAAGAGAAGGGACCTGGAGAAACTGCTGAGGAAAGAGCAGCACTTCAAGTTCTGTGATTGCCTGGTAAGGATGACCCCGAAGGCCCAGCCCCAGTCTGGACAAGCCCCAGGCCCCGATGCCCAGTGTGCAGGGCTGGCCCTGTGCCCCGGCCACTGCTGCAGCCACAGACACCCCCCTGCTCTCTGCAGATGGACAAGGACGTGAGCCGAAGGGCTGAGCACCTGCACCAGGCCCTGCCCTACCTGCAGAGCCCACAGCAGCCCCTGCGAGAGGCGGCCGTCAGGTTCATGGGTGAGCCACAAGCCCGCGGTCCCTCCCGCCCCACTGAAGCTTGGCCCCAGCCCCGGCTGCTCCAGCAGCAGCAGGATGTGGCCCAGGGATGTGCTGGGGAGCCCCAAGTGCCCTGGCAGCTGCTGCCACCTTCTACCAGCCGCACCCTTGGGTGTCCCGATGTGGGAAGGCCCTGGCTCAGCCCTGCCAGGCCAGGAGGCCGTGGGGGAGTAGCTGTGCTGCTGGGGCCCTGACACGCTCTCTGTTCCCAGGAGTGGCTGCCTGGCACATGCAAGACCTGCAGCTCCTCATGAGGGGTGAGTGAGGACAGTGGGCTCTCACTGTGGACTGGCAGGGGGGAGCACAGACCCTGGACAGGGAGCTGCAATCCCTGCCCTGCCTGCGCGGGGCTCTGCTCCCTGCACGGACAAGGGGCGCTGTGGGCAGAGCAGGGACATATTTCAGGGGCAGGGAGAGGATTGGGAGCCAGCACCTTCCCGCTCATCCTGTTGACCCCTGCTCCCTCCTGGCCATGGCAAGAGCTGACTGGGATGGCCCCGACAGGAGGGTCTCCTTGGGTTCCCGCACATCCAGGCTCTGACCGTGGCTCTGTTCCTCTCTCTTCCAGCCTTTGAAGCCATCAGCCAAGACGACTGCCCGTCCTACTGCACCATGCGGACTGAATTCTTGTCCGCTTTCAGACGGGCAGTAACAAAGTAATCTCCAGCCAGACAACCTGCGTCCCTCCAACAGCACCGGAAGACCAAGGGACGAGACCACTTCTCAGTGGAGCTGGAGATTCAGCTGATGCTGGGCCCAACTGAGCCAGCCGGCAAGGCCAGGCAGCTCCTGGCCTGCCCATCTTTATGGACAGCCCCTTCCCAAACCTTCCCATACCTTCCCAAACCTTCCCTTCCTAAACCTTCCCAAACCTTCCCTTCTCAACCCTCCCCAAACCTTCCCCTGTCCACACTTCATCCCTCCCCTTCCCCTTACATTAATAAATATTCTCTTTTTCCCCCTGACCTGCATCTTTGTGGAACTCAATCGCCACAAACCTCAGCCCTGCAGCTCACGGGCCCGCTCCTGCCTTGCTTTTGCCCCTTGCCCCGTGGGCACACACACACAGGGACAATGGCACTTCAGGCTGCAAAAGGCTCTATCCTGAAGGGCCACTTCCACAACATTAAGTACACTTAAAGATCTTGCTGGACACTGTTAAGGGATTGAAAATTATAAATTCTGTATTTGGTTTATTGTCATTGTATGGTTTTGTATAGGTTATACCTTTTTATGTGATTCTTGTGTTCTGATTGGTTGATGCATATTTATGTTTTTTTTCCTTATATGGTCATAATTTGCATGCTCCGCAGGAACCCCACCTTCTGTTCCAGTGCCTTCCCTACCCATGTTATTTAAGGCTGGAGCCCTTTTGTCCAGTGCTCTTTTTGTTCCTCCCTTTAGGCCATTCAGTTGTACCCCACTTTTATAATAAAGTCGCCTTACCAGTTGCACCCCGAAAAGCTGTGGAGGTGTTTATTCAAGCGTCGACCTCTGCAGGACACACTGAAGGCCACTGGTCTGAACCTGGAAAACACACTTGGAGCAATAGGAGCTAGAGCTGGAGTGCCTGTTCTGAAAGGACCAGAAGGAATTCAGCCTTGCCGGGCTGTCTTAGGCGTGTGCTGGTGTTCCCCAAGCAAACCGTAGATTGGAGTAACCCCTTTGGAGGCAAGGGGCTTGCTTCTTGAAAAAAGTGCTTCCCAAAAAGTTCCCAGTGAGGTAGCTACAAATGTCTCCCTCTAGCTCTCTGTGGTCCTTTCACACCTTGTGTCCCGTGGCACCCGGGAGAGGGGCGGGGGAAGGCTGTGAACAGCAGGCTTGGGTTCTGCCTGTACCTGCAGGGACCAACCAAGCAGCTGCCAGCAGGGTCTGTTACCCACCTTTCAGCAGAGCTGTGAGCAGGAGCATCTCTCTGCAGCCGAGAGCCCCAAAGCTCTTGCAGAGAGCTGGGAATTAATTAAAAGGCCTTTATCCACACCCTGTGCCCTGTGTGACCTGATGTAAAGCAAAATCACGAGTCATGACGGTGCTTTGTGAGTGAAAACATGAACTGGTTGGATTGTTCCAGGGATGAGTAGTTCCTTCTGGGAGGTACTACCCCTGGCCAGTGTCATTTTGCAGCTCAAAACCTCCCCATTTCCATCGAGGGAGAGTTGAGGGATTCACCCATGGGTTTATTGGCCACAAGTGCCGGACACTTGGCTCTGCCATGACGCTTACTTCCCCATGTAACCCTTCTGGAACTTCTGTCCCACTGGAAAAGCCAAAATAGGCTCCAATCACTGCAAACCTCCACAGGATTACTCCAGGAATCCCTGTGGGATAAGCCCCCACTAAATGAACCCTGTCTCTGGTGACATTTTGAGCTCCGCCTCACACTTTTGGTGTTTTCTGGTTCCCAGGTGTTTCACATCTGAGTTCACAGGTGCCCTGACCTCCTCCCACAACCCTACTCCTGCCACAAAACCCACCCTGCACTACCAATCTTCCTGCATTAATGATCCTCTCCACCTATTTTCCAACCACCCCATCTTGGAAATGAGTTGTTCCTACAGCTCTGAGGGGATTCTGCCCTCAGAACCCTCTCATACACCTTGGGAGCAGATGGAGAAGGGCAGGTCTTTCCCTTATGCCCCAATCCCACTGCCTTTGGCCCAAATCCTGCAGCAACTCCAGAACATCACTCTCAGTGTAGGAAGAAATTCTTACCTGTGAGGGTGGTGAGGCCCTGGCACAGGTTGCCCAGAGGAGCTGTGGTTGCCCCATCCCTGGAAGTGTTCAAGGCCAGGTTGGACGGGGCTTGGAGCAACCTGATCTAGTGGAAGGTGTCCCTCCCCATGGCAGGGGTTGGAACTAGATGAACTTTAAGGTCCCTTCCAACCCAAGCCACTCTGGGATTCTATGATTCTATGAACTACAGAATATGATTTACTTTTGCCAGCATTCCCAGGTGGGTTTGTGCTAAAGATTCATTTTTTCCAGCAGTACTCCCAGCCAGCAGGAACAAGAGTGGATGATGCTCCTGGGCCAGCCCCTGTTCCCATGCAGGAAGGCTACTTCTCCCCTGCAGGGTGGGAGATGCTTTAACCCTTCTGGTGCTCCAAGGATTGAGTTTCCTTCCAAGACTTGGAGATTTAGCAAAAGAGCTGCCTGTAGAAATACCTCCAGTCAGACAATGGCCCTGGTTAAAGATCACTTGTAGGTAAAAACAAAGCTTTCCCAGGGTTTAGTGTTGGCTCCCTGGAGTGAGTTCCCCTTCTATGTCAGCAGCAGGCTCCTCTCATCCCTGCAGGGGAATGGCTGGGGACAGGTCAATGTTTAACCCAGCCAGGAAGGATGTGTGGAGCCAGCAGGGAGTTGCCAAGGCTCTGCAATCACTCACAAAGATCCCTCCATGTTCAGGGAGGACGGTGCGTGAAGATTTCCTTCCCTTTCAAAGCCCCCCTGCAAAATGGGCCTGAGCTCTTCCAAGGCACATCCCAAGGTGACCAAGGTGGCACCAATGCGCTCCGCAGAGGACCTGCCTTCTCTCTCTGCCCTGCACCGGCTCCCCAGTGTGCCAGGACAGCCCAGCCTGCACCCATCAGACGTGGAAAAGTGGGGAAAACCCATTTTCCACCTGGAACTTCCACCTCTCCGGGAGACCTGGTACGGGAGAGCCTCTTCAGGTAAGGAGGTCGTGGCTGGAATATCGTGAACTAGTGGCATCAGCTGGGACTGTAGGTTTGCCCACTGCAATGTGGGGTGGGTGTAGGTGTGTGCACAGGCTGTTCTTTATCTGCTTTTGGCCATTTCCAGGACATTTTAGCTTTTGGAAAACTCACTGCCCCTCACCTCTCCTCCACTCCATGTCTCACTCACCAGAGCCCAGGTCCCAGGCTCCTTGCCCCCACCCCTCATATCCCAAGGAACAGCCCAACTCCCCAGCACGGACCTGGCACATGATGACACCCACTTGTGTCCAAGCAAGCCCTTGTCCACCCACTTGTGTCCAAGCAAGCCCTTGTCCAGCTACCCTGTAACTCCCATCATACACCTCCCTGCTCACTTGCCCCTGCTGGACATATCATTAGCATTAACCTAATTAGAACGAGATTCTGGACTGTGTGCTCAGCAGGTAAAATGGCATTACAATAAATGCCAGCCCTGTCCTGTATGGGGCTGATTTGCCAAGCCAGGAGCAGAGGAAGGCAGACAGTGTGGCTGCTGTGTTTTCCTACAAAGAGCACCATGCAGCCTTTAAACTCCCTCTGTACCCAAACCATTCCTGGAGGTAAGGAGGGAGGTTTACATCCATCTGGAAGTGGATGTGTAGCTCTCTAGGATGAGCTGGGTGGTGACAAACATTTCCCACAGCTGTTTTAGGTGAGTGTAGCGAGAAACTTCCATGAAAACCAGCGGAGTTTGAGGAAGGGCGATGCAGAGGAAGGAGGATCCGCAGCCCTGGCATCCTCCTCCCCACTTTTCCATTCCCAAAAATCAATTCCTGACACACTTTGAGTGGCCTTAAGAACTGCTGCCTCACAAGGGACTGGATATTTCCTTCAGGATCGTTCATCAAGAGGCATCAGGAAACTGTGAAAGCAAATAAATCTCTGGCATGATAGTAATGACATTCCCGGAACTGAGGTCTTGGGGAGAATACAGATCAGATCTGGCTGTACCACAGCAGGTTTCAAGTACTTCATGATAGCAAGAGCAACTAAAATATTCCTATTCTGGAAAATTATCATCACTGGGCATTTAACAAGTGCTTGTTAAAAATGTGCATTTTACAAAAATCTCCAACCCTTCCCCCACACACACCCAACAGATGCCATTTTTCATAACTTTTTGTTTTCAGAAATAAGAACTGTATGCTCAGGAGGACTTGAGCGATGTATTAGCACAAGCTCCTGTCTAAATAACCAAAGACAATTCCAAGAGAATAGATTTTATTTGGTTTGTGAGGGTTCAGCTTGGTTTGTGTTAAATCCAGATCCCCCCAGAGGGGAGAACCTGCTGCTGCTGAAGTGCAAGGTTGAAAAACAGGAGTCACAAGGATGCCTTCAGCTAGGGCTTGGTGCTGTTCCCTGCCCCAGGATTGAGCAGGTTGAGGGACAACAAGCCCTTGGCCTCAAGTTCTGTATCTGTAGAGGCTAAGGACAAGTCTCCTAAAAGACATATGCACGGGTAGGATGGGAGGGAACAATTAAAAAAAACCCGAAAGACACCCATAGCCTCATAAGGGAGAAATAACTTCCCAAAAGCTGTAACCTTCACCAGAACAAGCTTCTCCCAAGTCCCAGACCCTTCCCTGTGCCATATCCAATTTCTCAGCACCGTGAGCTACCTCCTTAAAAATTTTCCTTAGATTTCCCCCTTAGAAATTCCCTATGTGCTCATTTGCCCTGCAAACAGAGGCAATGACTCATTAACCCCCTTTTGCCCTGTCAGGCTACTCTTTCAGTGAGTATTCCACCAACAGCTGAAGTTTGTGTCCAGAGGAGCCTCCTGCACTGGAAATTTTCACGTCAGGCTCCCATTCCTGCCTGTGCAGAGCAGCTGCAGCTTCACCCTGTGGTTAATCATTGTCAAGGCTCTGCAGAGCCCAGAAAACATTTATCTGATGGAGTCACTATATCCTCCCATACCTCAACACCCTCACAGTAAGAAATTCCTGACTGTGAGGGTGGTGAGGCCCTGGCACAGGTTGCCCAGAGAAGCTGTGGCTGCCCCATCCCTGGGAGTGTTCAAGGCCAGCTTGGATGGGGCTTGGAGCAACCTGGCCTAGTGGAAGGTGTCTCTGCCCATGGCAGGGGGTTGGAACTCGATGGTCTTTAAGGTCCCTTCCAACCCAACCCATTCCATGATTCTATGATCACCTTCTCTCTCTTCTCCAAAAGCCCAGCTTGGTGATCTTCCATGAGGCTCATAGATGTCCCCTGTAAGCTGACCTCCAAAGTATTATTTTTCTTGTTAAATATAACTATTAAATTTGGCATCATCTATAATGTAATTCCTGCACTGCATCCCCAACTCTTCTCCCCTGTGGCCAATCTCGGGGCTCCCACCACGTGGAAGCGGGTGCTGCTCAGCAACACCTCTCTCAACTCCGTGTATAAAATGGAATTTAAACACTTCAAAACAGTTTTTTTGGGGAGAACAGGTGGGATAAACAGATAAACTGTTTTGTAAAAGAAATGCTTACTGCACAATCAAGTGTTTATTTGGGCAAGAAAAGAACAAAAGAGGCAGTGGTGTCCACCTGGGAGCACCAGGGCAGAACAGGCCCAAGTCAGGATCACATCCAGGCCTCAGCAAAAGTGCTGCTTTAATAACTAACAGAGGATCACTGGTGTGTAACACGTTATTCTGGGCTGATTTCCAGGGTCTGTGACCATACCACTTGTCTGACCACAGCCCTCTAACTCCTGCATCACTGGCTGCTGTAGCCCAGCTCTGCCATGGTCAGTAAATCATCAGAGGTATTTCTCAGTCCCACCAAAAATAATAGTAATAAATCTCAGGAACTGAGCAGCAAGGAAAAAAAACCCAAACTGCTGCCTGTGCCCAATTTTTACAGGGCAAGAAGTGAGGAAGCAGCAGAGCTCAGGGGGTTCTTGGCCAGCTGATGGCCACGAGCCATGGGAGGAGCAGAGAACCCTTGATCACACAGGGGACCCAGGGGCTGGGAGAGGCCCCAGCGCTCCCAGGAGACACAAGGATGGTTCTGGTCACATGCAGGATGCATGAGAGGTTGTAGAGGGAAGTTGGAGAGGTACATGGCAGATATTTGTTCAAAATCACAGGCACAGGTGCATCCACTTTATTTCTTCAGCTAATAGAATTCTCCATGTGTTACTGGAGTGAGCAGAGAGAGAATTTAGTGGGACATGCCAACCAAAAAGAAGGGCAGAAAGCTATTGCTGAGTACATCTAAGCAGCTGATGACCACCCAAAAATAACTTCATCTATTTCTTTAATCTTTAAGGGCCCCTCTCTTTCAACACCATGCCCCAAAAGGAAGGAACCAGCATCATTAAGCAGCACCCGCCTCGAAGACCTCAAGTAAGGCGAGTTTGAGAAACTCCTCAGGAGCTGCTCTGATTGACCCCTTGATGTGGGCTTTCTGTGGACATGGGCATCCCTAGATGAGCTTTATGTGCTATGGAGACACCCATCAAGGACACATGAGATCACCTCTGCTGTGATGTCCCACTTTCCTTTGGGGTGTCCGGGTACCTGAAGCCGAGTCCTGGTGCTCCCAGTGGGCAAATGTGGTCAACACAGAGCCCTTTGCAGAAGGGATCCAAATTGCATTACGTGGGACTGATCTTGGCTCTTCAGCCCAAGTATCCCATAAAGGTCTGGTACCAGCTTAGGGGCCAAGAGTCAGGTAAAGCAGAGAGGCAGGTAAAGCAGACAGACATGCTTTGCAGTAAGGGATGCTGAGAGAGGAATTATTTTAGGTTTCAAGAACTGCTATGACTGCTCTGTCCCTGCACACACTCCCCTCAATTTCCCCATCCTGCACTTCCCAGAGTCATTCCCCCCCAAGGCCTGAAACCCATGATTCTACCTTACCTGGTAATCAGGTTTTTCCTCCACACAAGGGTTACCACTACATAACTAAAGCTCAGAAATATCTTTCTGTCTTTATTTCTATCTTAATTTCTGTCTATCCCTGTACTTGGCACTGGTTAGGCTGCAGCTCAAATCCTGTGTTCGGTCATGGGCAGGGACACCTTCCACTATCCCAGGTTGCTCCAAGCCCCATCCAATCCGGCCTTGAACACTTCCAGGGATGGGGCATTGATGGCTTCTCTGGACAACCTGTGCCAGGGCCTCACTACCCTCACAGGCAAGAATTTCTTCTTAAAATCTAATCTGAACCTGCTTGGAGCAACCTGGTCTAGTAGAAGGTGTCCCTGCCCATGGCTGGATGTCGGAACTAGATGGCCTTTAGGGTCCCTTCCAACCTAAAGCTTTTAAGAACTTCATGATTCTATGAACAGCAAACTTGCTGGAACAGGGGTGCTTTGCTTGAGCCTTCCTTGCTTTGAATAAAGTCTTTTTAATATAGTAAAGAACAGAAGAGCCACCAGGCAGGGTCAGTTAAACCCCTCCAACTCGAGGCTGTGGTTCTGGCTTACACTGGTGGCTTCAGAGAGCAGAGGTGGCACCAGCTGTTGAATAAGTTGTCCCTGGATTTGGTGGGAGGACGTGACAGCAGCACCTGAAGTGAGCCCAGCCAAACCCTGAGAACTGTTGTGCAGAATCACAGCCTCCTTTAGGAATCTCCTACCAGCAGGGAATTTTTAGTCACTGATCTTGTTTCTATCACGGCTGTACTTAAGCCGTTATTAAAACACTTTTAATACTCGTTGCAGGACAAAGACACTGTGAGTCCTACCCTGTACTTATGCCATTGCTCTTAGGGAGTGTGCACAGCAACAGCAAAAGCCCTTTTTCCTGTGGGAATATCTTCAAAGGCAGCAGAGCAGGATGGTGTGGCCTTGTCAAGGACTTTTAGAGGATTTCAGTCAGAGAGTATTTCCAGAAAAAAAGCCGGTGAGGTTCACAAAAGCTAAAGCAAAAGGGTCAATTTTCCAGCCAGGGACACAATCCAAAATCCTGGAGCTTGGCTTCCCCACCAGCAGCAGGGACATGAGTAGGATGTAGGAGATTATTTGCCTCCATCCACCCCACGCTGATGGATCCTTGGTGGCATCCAGGAGCGAGGCACAGCCCGGACTGCAGTTTGTGGTGTCACATGCTGCCATCTAGTGCCGTTTGTTAAGCTTCATGTTCAGTTTTGTGGGGTTTTTGGTGCTAAGAGACGTTTGAACTTCGGGCCTGACGAGTTCCTGACGAGGAACTCCCCAGCAATGTGACATTGCTGACTTCTTTTCTCCTGCGTTTTCATGGATTTAGAGGATGCTTCAAAATTACAGTTCAGGCTTCGGCAGCAGTTCAGTGCAGATGCTCAGAGACATGTCATCATTTATTGGACACTAATTCATAATCAAGGAGTTAATGATGTCCCAAATAAGTTGTAGGTCAGGTCTTACTGTCAAAGTCTTTGATTATGCTCCCCTTAATTTTTATGGAAGCTATCCTGAGCTCCCATTCTAGAAGGGGACACTAGAAAGAGTGAAATCAACATCCCTGGAAGTGTTCAAAAAGTGTGTAGTTGTGGCACTTAGGGACATGGTTTAGTGATGGACCTGGCAGCGCTGGGTTAATGGCTGGACTTGATGATCTTAGAGGTTCTTTCTTATCCTGATGTTTCTGTGAATACCATGACATAAAAAGACTCAGTACCATCTCATAGTTTGAAATTATTTAAAAAGGCATCTCAGCTCCTCAAGATAAAAATCCATGCTCAGAGCAGCCTGTAGAGCAAGTCTCTGCCCACTTCCACCCCCACTAGGAAAGGCATATTGTACCATGCACAGTTCTGCAACGAAAGGTCTTACTTAGGCCAACATGAAAAATACTGGTTAGACAGAGGGAACGATGCTCTGGCTCTCATACAACTGGGATCTGCCATTGGGTGACCTCATAGGATACTTTAGATTAAATTATGGCACCTCTCCATGCTCCAGCTCTGCCATGAACAGTGTGAGCTGTGGTTTGTCTTCACTCTGGTCTTGGATGGAGCCTTCAGTGATGTTGAGGCTCAAAGAGAAACACCCACAGGGATGAAACTAATGTCAGACTGGGCTTTTGCTGCTTTGACTGTGATGTAAGAGACTTCCATGGAGAGTTTTGTCCTCTCCTGAAGGGCCAAAGGAGATGTTCACCTCCCTGAGATGCCGAACTCCTTCCTGTATCCCAAGCAGACAGGCCAGAATTGGAGCTGGCAAAATGTCAGGGTAGTTTCATATCAGGTTTCATGATTCTGTGGAATGAGCAATGCTAAATATTATAAATATTGGACTTGTAGAGGCTTGAACCTGCCATCCCTCCACAAGCAATCGCTCCTGTGAAGCCCTGGAGTCAGCGAGGAGTGGCTGCAAGCCCAAAACCAAAGGTAAGCACATGAGTTTGTGCCCATGCACAGGCCACTCCTGTCTGCAGGATCATTTCCCTTATAGTTTGGGCACCCCAAAGGGCAGAAGTTGGTGTTTTACACTGTTTGTGCTCCCGTCTCTGGCTGAGACACCAGTGTGTGGGTGAAAGGATCCAAAATCTGAATTTCCAGCATGACAGTTCCCTGGACGAGGTGGACCTGCTGAGACAGGATATTAAATATTTTTGAGGCTAAAAGTGTGAGGACCACCTTTTTTAGTGGCTGGGTAACTTGAACACCCTGCAGTCAGTGGGGAGAAGGGAGAGACCTTGTTGCTCTCTACAATTCCCTGGAAGGAGGGTGGAGCCAGGTGGGGATTGGGCTCTGCTCCCAGGTAATAAGTGGCAGGATGAGAGGAAACGGCCTCAAATTGTGCCAGGGGAGGTTTATATTAGATCTGGGGGAAATCTCCTTCACTGAAAGAATTGTCAGGCATTAGAACAGGCTGCCCAGGGGAGTGGTGGAGTCACCATCCCTGGAAGTGTTCAAAAAATGTGTGGATATGGCACAGGAGGGCATGGTTTAGTGCTGGGTTTGGAAGTGTGGGGTTAATGGCTGGACTCAATTATTTTACAGACCTTTTCCAACCTTAACAACTCCATAAGTCCATGATTTTAAGGCTACAAGTGCTATGTACTGTAAACACCCCCTGCAACCCCAAACATCCAAAAGTGGTTCTTCCCTTTGGATCATGAGATAATCTTGGAGAACTGACTCAACGAGGTAACACCTCGGGGGGCAGAAACACTTATGCATTGTTTTAATGAAGTTTTTTCCCTCATGCCCCAGAGCTGTGAGATAAACTGCAAGTGCAGTGGAAATCTGGGATAAATTTCTGCAAGTTGGCTACGCAGGGAGATCGTTTATCCAGGAGCGCCCGAGGGGTTTGTGAGCTGGTGGCTCTTCCTTCCTCTTTCAGAAAGTGCAGGTGTATTTATTTACATCTTTAAACACATGGTAGGTGCTGGAGAAGAGGGGGCAAAGCCTGAATCACCTCCCTGGCAGGAGACAGCACTTACACAAGCTTCAGATGCTGGACTTGACCCGCAAGCGACAAGAGGTAATGCCGAGATGGATTTGGGGAGGGGATGGGGCTGTCTCTCCCAAGGACCAGGAGACCTAAAGCCTCTTACTGGGAAGGTGAAATGAAGCTTTCCCGGTGTCTTAGGCAGAGGAGAGGTGGAAAGCATCCCCAGGGCCCCTGTGATCAGTAATTACCTCTGATTTTTCCAATGCTTTGCCCTCGTTTGGCCATGACTCCTGGAGAAAACAAAAATCTCTGTCCTGGTCATGTTGTGTCACGTGCCCAGTTTGGCAAATACCATTTGCTTGGGTTAAACTCCTCGACTGTGCAGTCATTCCCAGGGCCAGCCCCCCAGTGCTGCTCCACGTCAAGATGTTAAAATGTCTTCGCTCCTCTGCTGTTTGTGTTAACGACTCATTTGCAAACCCAGGCGGAGCTGAAACGAAATCTCCACAGGGAGGCAAAAGCCAGTAAACCAAAAATCAAGGAATTCAGCCCGATGGACATCCTTGACACTCTCCAGAGAAGCAACAGCAATGAAAGCCGAGGCCTTGTCCCTGCTGAGCACAATCAGCGTTTTCACGAAGACGACCATGGTGAGTAGAATAATTTTCCAAGGAGCTGTAAAACTCACCAGCCTCTTACATGTCATCAAAGAGGTTTCCCTATGGAAGATGCTTCCATTGCTCCATCTCCTGCAGTGACAAGATGCAGGTTCAAAGGACTGGAGGAGGAAGGCTGGGAGATGTGTTTTTAAGGCAAAGCATTGGGATGCCTCGGAGAGGTCGCAGGGCTCTGGGCTGTTTCTCTGACAGCATCCAAACAGACCCAAGTGGATGTGGATTAAAAGCCATGGACAAGGCAGAGAGGTATAAACTCAAAGTCCTTAGGGCCAGGCCCCTGCAGGAGCAGGTTCCCACTGTCAGGAGAGTCTTACTTGTCCCATATGTCCCCTGTACAGTAAACTGGGTGTGAGAACAGAGGGTGTCCCTGGGGTCCAACATCCTTAGAGAGTCAGAACATCCATCAGGAAAAAGCATCCCAGAATGCTGGATGGGTGAACATACAAAGAAATAAAATGGGAAACAGTTGGAAAACAACCCTTACACCAGTTTTGGCCCCCTGCCATCTGCCCCCAGCATAGGACACCTCCTGCTCCAGCCTGAGGTGTGCACAGGTGGACGTGGCCTGTGACAATGTCACAGTGGTCACTCTGGCAGGGTTGAAAGTTGCTGATTAAAACATGCCCTGCCAACTCTCCTTTGAGATGTGAGTGACTCTGGGGAGCTGCAGCCAAGCCCCAGCCCCACCCTGCCCCAGTGACAGCCCTGTGCCAGCTGTCATTCCTGGAGGGATTACAGGGCTGAACCACTGGCAGCTGAGGTCAGTGCTGGGTACACAACTGTGTGGTGCCCTGGCAAAATATATCAGGGCACATGGTGCAAACACTCAGCTCATATCTTCATCTGGGGTCAAGCAGGGTGGCCTTCAGAAGAGCTTGTCTGCTGCACCAGGTTGGGTACAGCTCAGTGCTTTCTGCTCTGGAGAAAGGAATTATGATACTCCCTTGCAGCAAAGGGGAAACCTGGATGATCTGAGGTCACCAGTTGTTTTCAGGGACCTTGTGAGATTGTTTTTAGGGAGAGCAGTCAGCCTTGTCTCTGCCCCTTGGCGTGCCTGAAGGACTGAGGGGAGACCTCACGGCAGCCTGCAGCTTCCTCACAAGGAGAAGCAGAGGGGCAGCACCATCTCTGCTCTCTGTGGCCAGTCACAGGACCCGAGGGAAGGGCTGGAGCTGTGTCAGGGCAGGTTTAGTTTGGATATCAGGAGAGGTTTTTCACCTGGAGGGTGGCTGGGCACCAGAACAGGCTCCCCAAGGAAGTGGTCGCAGCCTCAAAGCTGACAGAGCTCAAGGAGCATTTGGGCAACACTCTCAGGCACACAGTGGGATTCTTGGTGTTTTCCTGTCTGAGGCCAGGAGTTGAACTCGATGATCCTCGTGGGCCCCTTCCAACTCAGCATATTCTATGATTCCCTGATATTTTGGGGTGTCTTCCCTGTCAGAGCACCCTTGGGAACACTGGGAAGCTCAGACTAGGCTCAGCAGGAGAAAGAACTGGAGAATGAGCCTCTTTAGCAGCAGCTGCCAGAGAGCTGCTCCTGGCTTTACCCCTGCATGGTCCACCAACCTGTTGCATCCACATGCACAGTGGAGCCTCTGGACTCCTGCCATCCTCAGAGGACCATGGGGTAAATATTATAGTCACTCAGGTTAATCACTATTTAGGGTTGGTTTTTTTATGCAGAAACTGCTTCCCACTGTCCCTTAGGAAGGGGAAAGTGAAGTGAGTCCCGTCCACCACTTCAGACTGACATCCAGACACGAGCCCTGTTCTGCTTTGCTTGCACGTGACAACCCTTGGCACAGGCTGGAAATGTACCACTGAGGGTAAAAGTGCTTAAGTCAGTGAAAAACTTGTCTGGAGGTGAACTTTCACCAGGAGAAAGGGGAACAGGCTTGGCTTCCTATTCCCTTGTGTTTCTTCACCTCAGCTCTCTTCTCCTTGGGGATAAAGCCATGTTGCCTCCCACCAGACTCTATAACCTCTCCCAATATAATCCTGAGTGAATTCTACCTCACTCTGCCCAGCCCTGAGCAGGGGGTCTGGTCTTACAGGGCATCTCTCAGGATCTTCTTTACGTGCCTCCAGCAGCCCATAGCCATTTCCAGCTAAACTCCAGGTGCCTGAGGACGCAGCTCAGCAAACATATGATGTTTGATTTTTTTCTCTCCCCAAGGAAACACGTGGGGTGAAGGACTCTCCAGACAATGTGATGGAGCTGAACTGTCTCCAGGCAGAAGAGGGAAGGTCGACCTGTGGTTCTGCAGGGAGCCCCGGACGAGGGATCTGTTCTGGGACACCTCCAGCACGGGGTCTGAGGAGTGGGAAAGGGAAGAGAAGATTCACCGCAAACCTGCACTTGTGAGGACCAAGACGGAGAGAGTTTCCCTCTTTGATGACTTCTTTGACAGGGATTTCTAGTGGCACAGCTTGGGGTGAGAGGGATGTGGTGAAGAAACAAGTCCCAGCTCTGGTGGGACTGGAATTCCCCCCCCCACAGATGGATGGACTGAGGGTGGAGACACAGTGCTGGCTGTAAGTGGCACTTCTGGGAGCACAGGCCAGGGGAAAGGACAGCTGGAAACGAGGAGGTCACTGATGTGGAGCAAATAATGACTGTCTGGGTTGTGTGGCTGCACCAAAATATCTGGGGGAAAATGCCCTGGACAGAGCAGCAATGAACTGGGGGTAGAGAGAGGAGGAGGATGGCAAAAAAAAAAAAAAAAAAAAAAAAAAAGCAGAACCTGGAAAAAATTCTGGGTTAACCCTAAATATTACATTCCAACTGAAATTAAGTGTTTCACTTGCTTTTGGGTCACTCAGTCTTTCTGTTTAAGTTGGGTTGAACTTTTTCTAAACCACAAAACCCAGTTCAAAAAGCAAGTTAAAACGATTTACTCAGGAAGTCTTTAAAATAAATATTTTGGCATTTCTAGAACTCCTTTTTTGACTTTTTTTTTCCTCTCCTCTCCTGTACCAGACACAGAAATACTTGTACTTTCTTCAGTATCAACCTTCAGTTTTGTACTATTCTGAAAAATCCAGTTTTGGTTCACTTCTTTTCTGTCAAAGAGGTTCTTGCAGTTTCCATCTCACATGAACAGTATTTTTAATTGAATTATCTGCTTTTCCTTGTGAAATAATTTGTTATCTGAGAGGAAACTTCCCCCAGTTCTCCTATCTCCTGTCTGGTTGTCCCTGTAGGTCCATCATTTCATTTTTCAAGCCAGGACACCCAGAATAACTAGATCTGGAGTCAGCTCTCAGTTATCCAGGACAAGCAGGGCTTGGACAGCTCGGGACAGATGAAACTTGTCCTGCATCGCTGTCCCAAACCTGTGCTACCTCCCACAAAGCTGTTGTGGTGTGTCTGCTTTGCATCCTCAGCTTCCTGGCTTACAAAGCCAGGAAAAGAGCAGGAGACACATTTTTACACTTATTTAAGGGAATGAGACACCCGTGGCTGACTCAGTTTCAGCAGTATTTAGCTTTATGGAAAATCTCAGGCAGAGCAGGAGCTGGAAATCACAGCCAAAGCCACAAACCAAAGCTGGAGCCTCCAGCCCAGCATTGAACTGCTCTATTGTGATTTCACCTCCTTTTGACATCCCGGAATGTGTGGCCCATGGCAAGATGTCTACAGCTTCATGGGAAAACCTCCTCTTTGGAAAAATCCCACACAGCGTGCGGAATTCCGCTGAAAGAAGCAAGAAAAACAAACCCCAACACAGGGAAGGAGGAGGAAGAGGAATTATTTTAATAAGGAAGAAGAGCTGCTCATGGCTAATGAGTCCATGTCTGGAGCCTGTGTGTTTTAAAAATGCCCTGAGAATTTTGCTGATAGACACAGTCATCGTGTGTGAGCTGGAAATATCGTGAGAGCTTTGAGTTCGACGCTGAGGATGTGCTGAAAAGGTCAATGATTTAATGGGCTGGAACAATTAATCTGGCACTTGTCTATACACCTGTTCTCTTAATGATGTGACACATCTCCCTTCTGTGTTCCCATCTGTCAACAATTAAGCTATAATTGGTGGAAATGCAATTTATCTCAGATAGAGCTGATTAGTTTTCCAATAATCATGTTGCCAGCCTTGGGGAAGAGTGCTGCCCACGGAGAAGTGCCTGTGGACCAGTCGATCCATCTCCCAGACTGTGCAAAGAGGAGACTCTGAGCATTAATTTATCAATCTACAATGGGCAGAGTTTGCTCTTACAGAGGCAGTAAAATCAGCAAACCCGCTTCCATTACAGGGGAATGGCTTCCCACTGCCAGAGGGCAGGGTTAGATGGGATATTGAGAAGAAATTCTTGGCTATGAGGGTGGTGAGGCCCTGGCACAGGTTGCCCAGAGGAGCTGTGGCTGCCCCATCCCTGGAAGTGTCCAAAGCCAGGTTGGACAGGGCTTGGAGCAACCTGGTCTAGTGCAAGGTACCCTTGCCCATGGCAGGGGGTGGAACTTGATAGTCTTTAAGGTCCCTTCCAACCCAAAATATTCTGTGATTCTGTGAAATATTTCTGGTGCTCAAAATTGTTTGGCCATGCTGTTCTTGACTGTATTAATTCATCACAACTTGTAGAGAGGCAGGGTGCAACTCATCCTCTTCCCATGTTTTCTAACATCCTTCCAGATGCTGGAAATGAAAATGTTTTCTTTGTTACTAAGTATGAAACTTGGGTTTTTCCACAAATTGCAGGAGATTAAAACAACCCTCAGCCTTACACAACTGGTGTTCTGCAACTCATCAAGGAAGACTTCACAGGGCTGTTTTCCTCTGAATAGTTCCCAATCCCAAATGCTGGATATTAGCTCATCATTGGAGGGCTGAGTGGTGTTAATCAGCTTTAGAGAGGAGGAAACTTGCCACTCACCATTTCTGGGCACACACAGCTTTGGTCCCAGTCACACACGACAGAAACCAGTCTGTGTTTTAGCAGAGCCCCTCACCTTGACCCCCATGTGCCTCCCTAGGGAGGGAGAGGCTGGAGCACTGCTGCATCCTGGCTGCAGGAATGCACATGGGATGAGTTTTAAAGGATAACAATGAGGAAACTTGCACAGGGTTTGATTTTGGTGGTGGGGAGCAATGTGCAGGCAGAGGAGGAAGAGCCAAGAGGGAGGGTTTCTGAGCAGGGAAGTGGAGTGAGGTCTGTCTGACCTAATTCTGGCTACCTCAGGGCTGGGAAGATGATATAAACCAGTCACTGTGCTGTTAGAGCTGGGAGGAGGAGTAATGGGTATCTCCAGGGGTTACATTTTTCCCTGTCTATCCTGGGATGGGGTGAGTTACCCGCTGGCTGAAAAAGGTGTTTTGGTTGCTATCTTGCACCACTCAAAGCCTTCAGGCAAGGCTGGACCCCTCCTGCAGGTTAAATGTGTCCACACAGAGGAGCTGTGCTGAGGCAGAAGCTGCTCAGCCCGGATTCAGCACCTTCAGAAAATTCACATGATGAGTTTTCACCAAAATGACAAAGAATGGAGATTTTATGCAGTTAACGATGTGGATATGGGCATGAGCAAACGGCACAGCCCAGAAGAAAGGGGAGATGTAGGTCAGATAGATCCCTGCCCCACAGCACAAGGACGTCTGATCTTCCCAGGGAAATGGTTCTAGGATGTTTTCATTGCTGCAAACACGGCCAGAGCAAACCAAGTTCCTCCAGCTCAGGATTAGCTGAACCAGTTCTCCTGAAGTGTTAAATCAAAATGATAATGCTCAGCCCGAAGTCAGCACCAGCCTGGCAAAACCATTAGCAATTAAATGTACAATTCATGAGAGGAAATGCCAATGAATCCTCCTTCTGTATTTTAAAAAGCAGCCAGGGCTGCTGCAACATCTCTGTTACTGTTCCTGAGCAAAAAAAACGTTATTTAATTACACTTAGTGAGGTGTTAGGTAAACAAAGCTGAACAAAGCCATGCTGTAACTGGATCTCATTGACTAGTCTGGATTAATGGGATTTTCTAACCTTCCTGGTGCTCTGTCCCACCTGGTGCTCAGAGTATTTGACTTCCTCAGGAATTCGAGTCTTCAGCATCACATAACATCCTCCTTCCCCAGCACACACACACACACACACACACACACACACACACACACACACACACACATTCAAAAGCAGAGAAAAACCCCACCATCTAAGCCACTGGGGTGTATCCAGTAACCTTATTAAACCCTTTATCTGCCCTGCCTCAGGGGAAGGTGTGTGACAGGCCGCTGGGATTGCCTCAATCTGCTTACACAAAGCTGCAGAGAAAAGCACCCGAGAACACCGACTCCAGCAGCTCCCTTTCAGGCTGTACAGGAAGATTAAAGTCTTATCAGCAGCTTGAAAAAAAAACCAAGCATGGCACGTTTTGGTTTGTCTCACCGATATCCTCAGTCTGCTCTGTGATAGCACAGCCCTAAACCTGTTGTTTTCCAATGTTCTTACAGCTTCCAGCTTTCTTTAAATAATTCCTGAGCAAGGTCAAGAGGTGGCAAAAGGGTCCCCAGATGAATTAAGAGGAAGGAGGCAGCTCCTGTTTCTCTCTGAGCCTCTTTACCTGCCCCTGATACTGGATTCTGGGATGCCTCTCCTTCCCAGCAGTGCTGGTGTTGTCTCTGTCCCGGAGAGAACATCCATCTCTGCCAATGCCACAGAGCTGCCCACAGATCCCTCCTGTTCTTGCAGAGGTAGGAAAAAGGGTTGTAGCTTTTTGCCACCTACTGACATGTTTGGGAACGGCTCATCCAGTGAATTCCTGCAGGAAGGCTCAGTCATGCGCTGGCTCTGCCTGATGGTGCATCCAGGATGGGCTGAGTGGGAGATGAAAATAAAACCAGGAGTAAATATGGCACTTGGCAAACTGACAGGAGAGCATCACCTATTTCATGGAATCATAGAATATCCTGAGTTGGAAGGGACCCACAAGGATCACCAAAGTCCAACTCCTGGCCCTGCACAGGACCACCCCAACAATCCCACCCTGTGCCTGAGAGCGTTGTCCAAACACTCCTTGAGCTCTGTCAGGTTTGGGGCCATGATCCCTTCCCTGGGGAGCCTGTTCCCGTGCCCAACCATACTTTGGATGAAAAACCTTTTCCTAATATCCAACTTAAACCTTCCTTGACACAGCTTCATTCAATTCCCTCTGGTCCAATATTTGACCAGTTAGTCCTTGCTATAATTCCCTCTTTGTTTCAGCACCTCTTTCCTCATTCCACAGAGCAGGAGCATGGGAGAAATCATGCATCTCTCTTGCAAAACAAAGCCTTGCTTCCCTTCTCTTCTATCTTGCCCCAGTTCATCCATTTTTTCCCCTTTCTCCTAACCTAAAATTCCCTGCCTGTCTTTCACCCTTACCCAAGGGACCATCTTAGCTCTGCTGAGGGCTTCTGCTCAGAGGTCAGGAGGTCCTTGCAGGACCCTGCTCATGGCTTAAGC